AGAGAGAGAGAGAGAGAGAGAGAGAGAGAGAGAGAGAGAGAGAGAGAGAGAGAGAGAGAGAGAGAGGTCATCACACTAATTTCAATGTTTGTGGCCTAGGGCGAAGTAGGCTGGGCTGATTTGCAACTTGCTCTTACCGGGGCTACCATCTGCCCCCAAATATAACACGCATAGGGTATATTAAAGTTTCCCTGAAAGATTCAGGTATTCAAACTTCCTGCCAAAAACTTAAACATAACGTGCGACAAAAAATGTAAGTACATTATATTCAAATATAACATTCATATGTTTTTTTATTCTTTCCGTTCAATGTAAATGATAGTAAATCACAATTATTTGCTTTCATTTATTGAGTTCATCTGGATTCCTGCTCCAGTCTTCCTGGATTGACCAACCAAACAAAAAAAATAAAAGTTCCTCTGGGTTCGAACTCAGTATTTCAACAGTTCATGGGTGTACCAACTGAGCTAGGCCGATTGGTTTTGCATCCTGTCTTTTTTTTTTTTTTTTTAATAAATTTCAACAACCACTATATTATATTTGAAGAGGCCCTAACACAAACAGCCTGGCCTTGCTCTTTCTTCCAGTGAATGATTATATCGTATAATAATATATATATCGTCACAAACAGAACTGCCCGGTAAACCGTAGGCAGAGAGAGAGAAGAGGACAACAAACGAGGGGCTGTGACAAACTGTTTTGTTGGAGTTTCACCGACTCGTCAGGAGGCTGAACCCTCAACAGTCTGCAGAATCCCCTCACTGATTACACTGTAAATGATAATCTACCTTTAACCAACATCAAAGTAGACTATCACTCACCCACACCAGATGGAAAACTCTACAGACTGTCGGTTCACACCCCATCACAAGCCAGCAGAACATCCACGAAACAAAGAAAGGTCTGTCCCAGCCAAAAAATACACTCCAGACACGCCGCTGGCGCTAGAGGCACAGCATGTCCGCCTAGTAACGGCCCCGACCACTGCCGCTCGACCTGACCGGAAAAAAACGTAGCAGGAAGCTAGCGAAGTCGTAGTATATATCGTCACAAACAGAACTGCCCGGTAAACCGTATATATATCGTCAAATAGAACTGCGCGGTAAACCGTAGGCAGAGAGGGAGAAGAGGACAACAAACGAGGGGCTGTGACAAACTGTTTCGTTGGAGTTTCACCGACTCATCAGGAGGCTATATATATATATATCGTCACAAACAGAACTGCCCGGTAAAACTGTAGGCAGAGAGAGAGAGAAGAGGACAACAAACGAGGGGCTGTGACAAACTGTTTATATATATATATAATTTTGGTTAAGGTAGATTATCATTTACAGTG